TACTTATATACGGTTCCTCAAGTCTCGCTTCCCACAGTGTGTTCAGATAGCAATGTCCTGCAAATGGAAAAGCAGATCATAGTTATGATCACCCTTAGTGTATGTCTGAAAAGAGGCTGCATCTTAAGTTCGTTATTTCATCTTCTCCACAGCACCACCTCCTCCATCTGAGACATTTATGTCTGTTTAAGCTAGTCAAGTCAACAACACAGTATTGTCATGACTTCTTCAGGGCTCCATACATAACATGAGATAAACATTTTGTATTTACTGCTAATCATCATTCATCAAGTTGTTATTCTTGGCAGTTATGCCAAGTCCATCTTTCCAGAGGAATAAACACTTGCATTAAATTGAACAAGGCTGGACCCTGTATAGTATAAATGAAGGAGAGTTAATGGCATGGCTTGTTTCCACTTTTATGGTTTTACTTTGTTTTGTTTTAATTTTAAACCATGACCAGGGAAGGCTGTTTGGAGTAGCTGTTTCCTAAAGAATACACTTTCAAGATGGTTGTTAAGTAAATATTTTGTAATGTGAAGATACTGCATAGCTCCTTCCTACGTTATTTGCAGATTTTCAGCCCCATTCACTTCAGGCATTTTTACACTGTTTCCTAAATCAGTCAGCAACTAATTGACAGACGGATTAAGATGTTAACTGACAATTCTGGAAATAGAATAGCACTGTAACACTAAATAGTAGAATGGGAAAGAAAATGATTACTAGGCTAATTCTACGGACAATGAATAATCCACAGAATAATGACAGATCAACATTTTGACTATCAAACACATATCCTGCAAAAGTGCTGAAACCTTGATCAGAACACCTCAGTCAAAATTGGTCCAGACTCAACTGTTCATGTTTGGCATTCCCTTAAAGCCTTAGAGCAGAACAACTAGCACAGCAGATTCATTTTATACAGTTTATGAAATGTATGTTCAGTTAGAATATCCAAGTTCACTAGATTTTGGACCAGATGCTATATTTTCAAAGCACTATGGCTTGGAGGAGCTGGAGCATGAGGAATCTTTCTGTTCTGTTCCAGAGAGGCAAAGTCAGGTCCTGGAATATATTCTGGGGCCCCTTCTCTGCCTCATAAGGACCTTTGCAGCAGGGAAAACATTTGTCTTAATGCTGTGCCCCATCATTGCATGGATGAACATACTATTTAGTCTAGATTGGTGTTTGCTGCCTTTTCTGGTAAGGTGGCTGCTTGACCGTGTTGAGGAAAAGCCATTATGTAAACCACCACTATTTGGTATTTTGAGGGAAGATAAGTAAGTTTTAATTGTTTGGGTAAGCACAGTGTTATTACTTTACAGCACTACAGCTTAGCTGTTCTACACATACTAATGAAAAGTACAGAGGATACAGATATAATGTGACTTTGAGCCTGTAGGAGCCTGTAGGCAGTCTGTGTTTGCCAGGAAGCACTGACAGCTCTGCTGACTGCATGCACTGCTGTGCATATGTGCAGTGGCCAGAGGAATAGTCTTCTATGTAGTCATTTTGCTTACTGCCTTTTGATGTCCTGCTGTCCTGCAGTGGTGCCTCTCAGTAACAGGCTGATTCCTGCCAGCCTAGAGTTCAACTGGAACTATAGGCATACACACACAAGGTTTATTTTTAATAGACTTTACTGAGTATATTTGTCCACTTCCTCTCTTATTACAACAACAATTTTAATTCTTGTAAAAAATCCAGTCTGGCAGTTCCAGAGACATTTTCTGTCTGTCCAATAGGCTGTAATTACAGAGCTATCCCAATTCAGACCACCTGAACTGTGCAAGCCCCCTTTGATGGGGCTGTGAATCCGAGTAAGGCAGTTTCTATCATTCATTACTCCTTTATCTGCTTTTCCTTTGTTTTCTCTTTTCCAACTTTGGTGTAACAGGCTAAAAAAAAAACATGAAGGAAACCACAGGAGTACATTAGAGACAAAAAAAGAATGCGTTGCATATTCTATTTTCTGTCCTCATTATATTGCGTCCTTTCAGAAGAATGAAATGAAGTAATGAGTCTGCCCATCTCTCATTGTGCCTGGCGCACTCATTTCTATGAATCAAAGCATAGACAAATAGTTTTGCATCGTCTGCTCATCTGTCCATTGTCTGCTCATAAATCCACCCCTCCTTACTGCCCTTGGGGCTGTTCACATTCATACTGAAAGTTCACAATTTGCTTGTCAGTTTAGAGAATTATACATGGTGAACGTGGCCATGTAGCCAAGTGATTACCAGCTGCTTCGTTATGTTTGCTTTCAGGAATGCCCTGAAACTAAAAATATCTGGTCACCTGTATCCTCACAGTACTATTACTTTCAGGTTAAATGCGTGGTCCCAGCATACTGGTAAACAGGCCTATATATCCCTGGAAAAGATGCTGGCAAGTTGGTAGGCCTGAGTCCAAATAGATCAGGCATCAGTGGTTAGGTTTAATATAGTTTTAACTGTCAGTTATTCAACTATAATTTTAAACTACTAATATAGTTGTATTTAACAGGCTCTGATATAATTTTGTCATCACTGTTTAAACATGGACAATTCAGGCAATTATATCCTCAGTGTTACTAACTATATGCAGTATATTGACAATTACATGCTAATTTGTGCTGCTACCAATATACCAGTTACATTTAAAAAAGCACGGGACAAGTAATGCATATGCTTTTTTGTTTCCAGCAAGCTGAGATTATAAATTAATCAATTTTTTGCATCCATTTTGCATGCAAGAACACTTGAGCATTTCAGTTTACCAGTATGGAACGTCTATTATGAAACTGTCCATCTAGTATTTGTTTCATAAAAGTTTTCAGACTCTTATCATCAGTAAATAACAGCCACAGTTGAACAGACAAGTTGGGTTTAGACCTGGTGATCAACAAAGAAGAAAAAAAAAGTTTAAAAAATATGTATTGATTGAAAAATAGTACATTAAAAAAAATCAGTCGCTATCATTTCATGAACAGAATACAAGGCTGAATCAGTCACAAAAATCATTACTCAATCAGTTTTGTTTTAGGAGGAAAACGTATACACAGTAACTACTGTAACAGAGGGTATCTCAGCAGCTGTTATTATGTGGTCTGTACCCTGAGAACATCAAAGGTTGGACGGCACTGGTAACGAACAGTATGGCCAACTCAAAGTCCCTCAGTTAATATGCACAAACCATAGAAAATGGGGGCAGTCTGACAAAGGTGTTTCCATCCCTGGAGAGGTTCAGGTATGAGGTGTGACAGCTAGAGAATTAATTTGTTGAGCCATTGGGAAAGACAGCAAATATTAGCAAACAGTGTGCGTTCTTCCCCACGTTTCCTTCCCCTTACCACGATGAGCAATGACAGATGAGAATTATATTGAATACCTGCTTTCAGTTTTGTCCCCAAACCTTACTGTTCTATTGTTTAATATTTTATAATCTTTCTGAATTGTCTTAATAGGCAATTTCTTCCTTTCTTAATGGACAGACAGAATTTAATTCATTTCTATATTTTGCCATTGAAATAATGACTGGGAGTGAGACTCATGAGATTTCTGAATTCGTTGTCTATAATATTCATTCTTACTTATAAGTAAGAACAAAGAAAAAAACCCAAGAGATTGTGTGGGAAACTTTGCTGTCCACACTCCTAATGTCTGTTTTCTCCCTGATGACCCAATCACTTAATATCACTATCCTGAGGCACATCTCTCCCCTCTCTCTTTCTCCTTAGTTTTTCTGTTGCAGAAACTTTTGCTTGTGACCTTTGAACTTTTGAGACATCAGTGTTTTTGTTTTCTCTGTCCCACCAAATTTTCTGTTTATACCTAGCACTAATTGCCTCATAATATATATGGATGGAATCTAAAGAAGAATGGACAACTGAGACTGGACACAGAGAAAAACAAGGAGATTGCAAAAGGTAAATAGGATATTCAGAAGCGACTTAGAGGAAAGCAATTGGAAAGGAGATGCCATTTTCAATGTTTTTGGGAAAGATAATCTATCATGACTCCCTAGTCATGGAATGCCAAATACTGTGATAAATAAGTTGCTAGTATGCTAAAGCCCCAATTAAATAGTTTATCTCGTCACACCAATATCAAGTCAAGTGTCATACCCTGCAGTAAAACATTTTGAAAGAACAGTATTTGTGGTTCTTCGTAGAGAGGAGATAGATATAAATGTATATAATTGCTTTACTGTGTTATGCATTAATGCTGGTTATCAGTTGTTACCAGAGCAACTGAGCAATTTGTGGATATGTTATTTTAAGTTACCCCTGCTGCAGCACGTAGATGCCTTGAGTTTTGCCTGTATTTATGCAATTCAGTGGCATTTAAGTTTCCACTGCCAGAAGTAATTTCTGTGGTAATGTGTTATGAACTTCTCTCCAGAACAGGTTTTCAACAGTACAGACCTTGATAAAGCTTTAGTGTAAACTCACAAGATAGGAGCACTGAAAATAAAGGCAGGTTGAATATCTGTCTCTTCCCTTTTATTCCCTCTGGCTGGCTGAGCAAGCTTTCCTGAACAGAAAGCAATCTTGTTATGATTGTAATCACTACTGTGTTTAATGGGCTCTAACTTCCACGTGTCTCTCTGTATTTTCGTTGGCTATAACTTTTTTATTGTTTTCCAACAGCAGTTAATGAAAACTGGAAGAAACAACTAAGTTCTGCCAGTCTCATTCAAATCTATATCTATAGCTATAGCTACAGCTATCTATATCTATACCTATATCTATCTATATATAGCTATATTTCTCTATACCTATATGTAGATAGATACATTAGATAAGTAGATAGATAGATAAATACATAGATAGATAGATAGACGCAGAACCTTTTCATGTGCTTTAACACAGAAGGACGCAGCTCGGACTCAGAAGCTCCGAGTCCTTGCACCGAAGGAAAGCAGGACCCAGAGGCAGCTGCCCCGGCCACCACCCGCCCGCCCACTCGCAGGACCCCCACACCTCCACACCACCCCCCAACTTCAGCTGCTCTCACCGCGGCGTCTTCCCGCGTCGGCGCTGCCGTCCCTCCCTCGCGACGCCTCTTCCGCTCTCTTCTCCGACGGCTTCTGCCAGGGCGGGAGGAGGCGGGTGGGCCCGAGAAACACCAGCTCCTCCGTACCAAGGCAACCCGCACCCCACGCCCCCGGAGGCACATCTCCAAGCCCCTCCCCGCCCCCCCCACAGGCCCCCCCACTTCCACCAAACGCTCCAAGCTTCACTTGGACTCACCACGGCGACGCACGGCGCAGTCCCAGCCGCTGCGGAGAGCCGGGCCCTCTGGGCAAAGGCAGCTGGGCATGCGAAGCAGCGGCCAAAGAGCCTGCCGCCCTGCTTACAGGGGGCTCCGGCTGCTGCCTGGACCACAAAGCGCCTGGGACACCAGGGCACTGGCCCCGACTTACAGGGGGGCCCTGGGCCCAAAGGCCTGCGGAGGCTCCTTCTCTCCGCTTCGGGGGGCACCTGACCCGCTCCCCGCTAACGGGGCGGTCGCCCCGCACAGGCTGCCAGCTGAGGGAGCGCACAGGCTCCCAGACCCGGACCCTGCTTACAGGCGGGTCCACACCCAGGGAGCCACGGAGCTCGGCCTTCCCCCGCAGCATCAAGTACCTGGCTCAAGGGCCAGGCGCTGGGGCTCGTGGCCTAAGGCCCTGAGCTGGGCCCCGAGGGCAGGGAGGGCACACGCCCAGCCCCACGCCTGTGAGAGGCCGGGGGACCCCGCGGGACACCCGCCTGATTACAGGGGGTCCCTCCAACCGCCCGCCGAGCAGGGGGGACGCACAAAGCCCCACTTAGGGGGCCGCCCCCCCGAGGCCCGGCACTCCCAACAACGGCCTCGCGGCCTAAGGCCGCCGGGGACAGGGCCCCCAGCCCCGAGGACGGGGGGAGGCCCACGCTGGCACGTCGCCAGCAGGACGGGCAGCCCCGCGGCGCGGGTGGCGGTGCCCGCGCCGCCACTAACGGGCTTCGCTCCGTCCTCGGGAACAAGGGGCAAGCCCCTCAGCACGCTGAGGCCCTTCTGGCCCGTGCGCAGCCCGGGGGCGAGCCTGAGGCTCTCCTCTCCTGCTCGGCGGCGGGGCTGGCTCCCCACGGGTTGGCGCACAGAGCCCCTCTTTCCCTCCTGGGAAGTCCAAGCTACGCTGCCTACATCTCTACGGGGGCTACAGGAGGGACCAGCTCGCTCGCTCACTCACACCGACAAGACAAGCACACAAAGGGGGAACGTCCCAGAAGAGGGAGCAAGCTCTGTGCGCCGAGCCGTGGGGAGCCGGCCCTGCCGCCGAGCAGGACGGGAGAGCCTCGGGCTTGCCCCCGGGCTGCGCACGGGCCAGAAGGGCCTCAGCGCGCTGAGGGGCAAGGGACACGGGCTGTGACGCACCCCGACTACGGGGGGTCACTCTGGCCAGGGGCCGCCAGCAGGCACCAAAGGTGCCAAGGGAAAAAGCCCTGCCCTGCTTACAGGGCGGGCGGGCTGGGGGTCCGGGAGAGCTCCGTTTCCCCCCTCGGGCGCGGAGGCGGGCACCCTCGCCCTCCTTACAGGGCGGTTGCCCCTCTCTCCGGGCAGCCACAGGAGCGCGATGGCAAAAGGCCAACGCCAAGCAAAGCAAAGGACCTGGCCCTGCTTACAGGGAGGTCGCCCAGCGCCAAGCCGGCCGGCGCAGCCGGAAGCTGCCCGCCGGACTCTTAGGGATCCCTGCCCCGGGTCATGCCAGGGAGGGGCCTTTGCCCAGAGGGCCCTTCTCCCGCCCCCTCTTGAGCGCGAAGCCGACGCTCTTCTTCCTGGCTCTTGCCTCGCCGTCCCGCTCCACGGCTCCGCTTTCTTCTCGGAGGGCTCCTGCCAAGGCAGGAGGACGCAGCTCGGACTCAGAAGCTCCGAGTCCTTGCACCGAAGGAAAGCAGGACCCAGAGGCAGCTGCCCCGGCCACCACCCGCCCGCCCACTCGCAGGACCCCCACACCTCCACACCACCCCCCAACTTCAGCTGCTCTCACCGCGGCGTCTTCCCGCGTCGGCGCTGCCGTCCCTCCCTCACGACGCCTCTTCCGATCTCTTCTCCGACGGCTTCTGCCAGGGCGGGAGGAGGCGGGTGGGCCCGAGAAACACCAGCTCCTCCGTACCAAGGCAACCCGCACCCCACACCCCCGGAGGCACATCTCCAAGCCCCTCCCCGCCCCCCCACAGGCCCCCCCACTTCCACCAAACTCTCCAAGCTTCACTTGGACTCACCACGGCGATGCACGGCGCAGTCCCAGCCGCTGCGGGGAGCCGGGCCCTCTGGGCAAAGGCAGCTGGGCATGCGAAGCAGCGGCCAAAGAGCCTGCCGCCCTGCTTACAGGGGGCTCCGGCTGCTGCCTGGACCACAAAGCGCCTGGGACACCAGGGCACTGGCCCCGACTTACAGGGGGGCCCTGGGCCCAAAGGCCTGCGGAGGCTCCTTCTCTCCGCTTCGGGGGGCACCTGACCCGCTCCCCGCTAACGGGGCGGTCGCCCCGCACAGGCTGCCAGCTGAGGGAGCGCAAAGGCTCCCAGACCCGGACCCTGCTTACAGGCGGGTGCGCACCCAGGGAGCCACGGAGCTCGGCCTTCCCCCGCAGCATCAAGTACCTGGCTCAAGGGCCAGGCACTGGGGCTCGTGGCCTAAGGCCCTGAGCTGGGCCTCGAGGGCAGGGAGGGCACACGCCCAGCCCCACGCCTGTGAGAGGCCGGGGGACCCCGCGGGACACCCGCCTGATTACAGGGGGTCCCTCCAACCGCCCGCCGAGCGGGGGGGACGCACAAAGCCCCACTTAGGGGGCCGCCCCCCCCCGAGGCCCGGCACTCCCAACAACGGCCTCGCGGCCTAAGGCCGCCGGGGACAGGGCCCCCAGCCCCGAGGACGGGGGGAGGCCCACGCTGGCACGTCGCCAGCAGGACGGGTAGCCCCGCGGCGCGGGTGGCGGTGCCCGCGCCGCCACTAACGGGCTTCGCTCCGTCCTGGGGGACAAGGGGCAAGCCCCTCAGCACGCTGAGGCCCTTCTGGCCCGTGCGCAGCGCGGGGGCGAGCCTGAGGCTCTCCTCTCCTGCTCGGCGGCGGGGCTGGCTCCCCACGGGTTGGCGCACAGAGCCCCTCTTTCCCTCCTGGGAAGTCTAAGCTACGCTGCCTACATCTCTACGGGGGCTACAGGAGGGACCAGCTCGCTCGCTCACTCGCACCGACAAGACAAGCACACAAGGGGGAGGAACGTACCCAGAGCGGGAGCAACGCTCTGTGCGCCGAGGCCGTGGGGGGAGCGGCCCTGCCGTCCGAGCAGCGACAGGAGAGCCTCGGGCTCGCACCGGGCTGCGCACGGGCCAGAAGGGCCTCAGCGCGCTGGGGGGCAAGGGACACGGGCTGTGACGCACCCCGACTACGGGGGGTCACTCTGGCCAGGGGCCGCCAGCAGGCACCAAAGGTGCCAAGGGAAAAAGCCCTGCCCTGCTTACAGGGCGGGCGGGCTGGGGGTCCGGGAGAGCTCCGTTTCCCCCCTCGGGCGCGGAGGCGGGCACCCTCGCCCTCCTTACAGGGCGGTTGCCCCTCTCTCCGGGCAGCCACAGGAGCGCGATGGCAAAAGGCCAACGCCAAGCAAAGCAAAGGACCTGGCCCTGCTTACAGGGAGGTCGCCCAGCGCCAAGCCGGCCGGCGCAGCCGGAAGCTGCCCGCCGGACTCTTAGGGATCCCTGCCCCGGGTCATGCCAGGGAGGGGCCTTTGCCCAGAGGGCCCTTCTCCCGCCCCCTCTTGAGCGCGAAGCCGACGCTCTTCTTCCTGGCTCTTGCCTCGCCGTCCCGCTCCACGGCTCCGCTTTCTTCTCGGAGGGCTCCTGCCAAGGCAGGAGGACGCAGCTCGGACTCAGAAGCTCCGAGTCCTCGCGCCGAAGGAAAGCAGGACCCAGAGGCAGCTGCCCCGGCCACCACCCGCCCGCCCACTCGCAGGACCCAGAGGCAGCTGCCCCGGCCACCACCCGCCCGCCCACTCGCAGGACCCCCACACCTCCACACCACCCCCCAACTTCAGCTGCTCTCACCGCGGCGTCTTCCCGCGTCGGCGCTGCCGTCCCTCCCTCACGACGCCTCTTCCGATCTCTTCTCCGACGGCTTCTGCCAGGGCGGGAGGAGGCGGGTGGGCCCGAGAAACACCAGCTCCTCCGTACCAAGGCAACCCGCACCCCACACCCCCGGAGGCACATCTCCAAGCCCCTCCCCGCCCCCCCACAGGCCCCCCCACTTCCACCAAACTCTCCAAGCTTCACTTGGACTCACCACGGCGACGCACGGCGCAGTCCCCCCCGGGCTGCGGGGAGCCGGGCCCTCTGGGCAAAGGCAGCTGGGCATGCGAAGCAGCGGCCAAAGAGGCTGCCGCCCTGCTTACAGGGGGCTCCGGCCGCTGCCTGCACCACAAAGGGCCTGGGACACCAGGGCACTGGCCCCGACTTACGGGGGGCCCTGGGCCCAAAGGCCTGCGGAGGCTCCTTCTCTCCGCTTCGGGGGGCACCTGACCCGCTCCCCGCTAACGGGGCGGTCGCCCCGCACAGGCTGCCAGCTGAGGGAGCGCAAAGGCTCCCAGACCCGGACCCTGCTTACAGGCGGGTCCACACCCAGGGAGCCACGGAGCTCGGCCTTCCCCCGCAGCATCAAGTACCTGGCTCAAGGGCCAGGCACTGGGGCTCGTGGCCTAAGGCCCTGAGCTGGGCCTCGAGGGCAGGGAGGGCACACGCCCAGCCCCACGCCTGTGAGAGGCCGGGGGACCCCGCGGGACACCCGCCTGATTACAGGGGGTCCCTCCAACCGCCCGCCGAGCAGGGGGGACGCACAAAGCCCCACTTAGGGGGCCGCCCCCCCGAGGCCCGGCACTCCCAACAACGGCCTCGCGGCCTAAGGCCGCCGGGGACAGGGCCCCCAGCCCCGAGGACGGGGGGAGGCCCACGCTGGCACGTCGCCAGCAGGACGGGCAGCCCCGCGGCGCGGGTGGCGGTGCCCGCGCCGCCCCTAACGGGCTTCGCTCCGTCCTCGGGAACAAGGGGCAAGCCCCTCAGCACGCTGAGGCCCTTCTGGCCCGTGCGCGGCCCGGGGGCGAGCCCGAGGCTCTCCTCTCCTGCTCGGCGGCGGGGCTGGCTCCCCACGGGTTGGCGCACAGAGCCCCTCTTTCCCTCCTGGGAAGTCCAAGCTACGCTGCCTACATCTCTACGGGGGCTACAGGAGGGACCAGCTCGCTCGCTCACTCACACCGACAAGACGAGCACACAAAGGGGGAACGTCCCAGAAGAGGGAGCAAGCTCTGTGCGCCGAGCCGTGGGGAGCCGGCCCTGCCGCCGAGCAGGACAGGAGAGCCTCGGGCTCGCCCCCGGGCTGCGCACGGGCCAGAAGGGCCTCAGCGCGCTGAGGGGCAAGGGACACGGGCTGTGACGCACCCCGACTACGGGGGGTCACTCTGGCCAGGGGCCGCCAGCAGGCACCAAAGGTGCCAAGGGAAAAAGCCCTGCCCTGCTTACAGGGCGGGCGGGCTGGGGGTCCGGGAGAGCTCCGTTTCCCCCCTCGGGCGCGGAGGCGGGCACCCTCGCCCTCCTTACAGGGCGGTTGCCCCTCTCTCCGGGCAGCCACAGGAGCGCGATGGCAAAAGGCCAACGCCAAGCAAAGCAAAGGCCCTGGCCCTGCTTACAGGGAGGTCGCCCAGCGCCAAGCCGGCCGGCGCAGCCGGAAGCTGCCCGCCGGACTCTTAGGGATCCCTGCCCCGGGTCATGCCAGGGAGGGGCCTTTGCCCAGAGGGCCCTTCTCCCACCCCCTCTTGAGCGCGAAGCCGACGCTCTTCTTCCTGGCTCTTGCCTCGCCGNAAGCAAAGCAAAGGACCTGGCCCTGCTGACAGGGAGGTCGCCCAGCGCCAAGCCGGCCGGCGCAGCCGGAAGCTGCCCGCCGGACTCTTAGGGATCCCTGCCCCGGGTCATGCCAGGGAGGGGCCTTTGCCCAGAGGGCCCTTCTCCCGCCCCCTCTTGAGCGCGAAGCCGACGCTCTTCTTCCTGGCTCTTGCCTCGCCGGTCCACTCTTTAGCTCTATGCTGCTGCTCTTCTTCTTTTCTCTTGCCTCGAAGTTCCACTCCAGTCTCTTCTTTCTTCTTCCTCGCTTCTGCCAAAGTAGGAGGACACAGTTTATTCTCAGAAATATCAGCTCCTCCCCAAGAAGGAAAACATCCCTATACCCCCAGAGGGAGATGTCCAAGCCACTACCCACCCACAGGCCCCCCCACCTCCACAAATCCCTCCAAACTTCACTTGGGTTAGGGCACCAGCAGCAGCGTCAGCTGCAGGGGTTGCGATGAGCAGGCAATGGATGGACCGCTGTTGTGGGGTCAGGGGGGTCCAGTAACTCTCTTTGGCTGCGCAGTTGCCGTGAGACTTCTGTAGAACAATGGACACAGCCAGCTTTCTCCTGTCATGAGGTGCAAGTTAAAGTGCCTCTTCCGTCACCACCAGTTCAACCAACAGACAACAAATGCACAACAGTTAAAACACCACCGTGGCACTCCTACCAAGAAACCAACCCACAGCCCTCACCAGCCTCAGAACAGCTTCTATGCCTAGGACGGCCTGATGGAGGAGGAAGATTAGAAATTGACACCCTAGAAATCTTAGCTGAGCTGTGGCAAACCGAACTCAGTGAGACGAGAGAACCAGAAAGAAGACAAGCAATTTTGGATCCTGCAGAAGAGGAAGAACAGCAAACATGGCTACAGCTACTACTTCAGCTCGAAGAAGAGAATACAGACTGGGAAAGCACACAAAACATATTCCTGCCCAAGCCGAGACCATCAGTGAAGTCAAAGCTACCAATGTTAAAATGGACAATATATATATTGGCTACGTTGCTAACAATAGCAGCTGTTGGTTTTATGCTGCGAGAATTTCAGCTGGAACAACACAATCCACCTACTGACACAACCAACAATCTAAAGGTAACATTGCAAAATACAGCAGACATACAACTATCAGCTACCATATTTAACTTACTAACTCACAAAAGGACAACTTTACTAATTGACAAATTATCTACTATTATAAAAGGTTCTTTTGTGTTACAGGGGGGAAGAATAGAAATACTAGGAGGGACCCTGAATCGAGTATTTACTTCTCACTATTTTAAAATGCTGTTAGACAGTATGCCATACACAGCATGGAAAGCCAAACCTAAACAAGTAGAAGAAGCAAGCAATTAAAATTTCAACTGCAGAAACACATAAACCTTTACACACAGTCACTGCAAAAGCCTTGATAAAGCAAAACAAACAAATCCCTCATACAACACAAGCCCAAAGATGCCTCACAAGGCTGCAACATACAGCAATACACACCTCCAAATCCATTCAAAACAAACATGCATAAATTTGCCTATACTCAAATTAAACAATTAGAATGGCAGGCAAAGACAGCAGTATCAAACATTTTAACAACAGAACAGATGTAACCTCACAATGGCTCTTAAAAAACATCCAAACCTGTTTAACAAGTTTTCTTAAACTAGCACCCCCAAAACAAAACAGAGACATCATAACCAGCAATAGCCCAGACATTAACCCTGTTTTCATTGGACCCACTGAAATCACTCATTCTGTAGAACAGAGGCTGCCTCAGTCAAAGAGGAAGTCAATTAACAGCGGATTTTTCCCAAAGGCAGTTTCACTGCAGCTAAACCCACAAGTGGCCCAAGAAACAAATAGCCCTAAATCCGTGATACAGTGGCCTTTCCTTAAAACAGAGGTGATGCATTTACACACAACACTAGAAAACCATATAAACACAGCCTTGCTACGTACAAAAACCCCTTCACTAATCTATCAATCTCTCTAGGTAGAGAAAAATGGATTTTCATACTTTTTACCCCTGTCTCAGAGTGCAAAAAGATTAGAACTTTTGAAAACCAAGATTTTGCAAATGACTTTTTAGTTAAAGAAAAGGATAAAAAACACTTCTTGTATAATTGCCTTTGCAAAACAAGAAATAATGTGTTGCCCCTCAAACATAACAATGGTTTACTGCTTAACAACTGGGTGGAATTAGATTTTGTCATCTTCTACCACTATTCCTGTTCCTATAAAAGCTTTCCTACTAACTCTTTGGCTAAACAAACAAGTGACTTGCCTTTTGGTGAGGAAAACGACAAGCAAACCCCTCTCATCTCTTACTCAAAATCTTCTTTCTTACATAATATGGGAAAAAGAAAGCAAAACATAGCGAACTAAAACTTTATTAACTATTCACTCATAGCACTGCATTTTACATTTTCAAGAAAATATAAATTTTACTTCTAACATTTGTGGTTTTTTCTTTTTTGTTTTCAAATCAGTTTTCTTAAAAGTACTGTAAATTGTTTTCTTAACAATAGAAATAAAGGGTAGAAAATAGTTTAAAAACATTTACACATGGAATAAAATTTAGCATCTCACCATTTTAAAGCCCAATATATTCATTAATTCATATTTTTTAAATATAAAACTGGCTGATACAAAACTTTCATTAGGTTTAGCAGTTTCATATTCTTCTAGTTATGCTAAAGAATGCAAGATAAACCTTTTATCAATTAGCAAACAAAATTGCTACACGTATTATAAAAACTGGAGCAATATAAGCAATTTACTAGGAAGATAAATTTGAATTAAATAAATTTACCCACAGATTGTTTCAGCATAGATTGCATGCTGATTACCAATCAATTGCTGGACTCAAGATGAAAAAAAAGATTTGAAACCTTCTTAGTGTAAAGAGAGAGAAAAATTCTCTTTGTTGCCTAAAAGCTCTTGCTATTGCCTTTCACCATGTAAATTGGTGTCATTTTAACCAAAAACATTTAAGTTTATTTCCACAAAACCAAAACACTACAGCTTTAAAAATTTTTTCCCTATTTTTTCATTAATTTCCCAGTAGCTTTATTTGAATTATTAAAAATAAAAGTTATTAGAAGTTATCAAATTCTCAAATACATCCACATACATGCAATTATCATAACAATGTTATTCAAATAATAAGTATAGAATCTTAAACATCCCCATATTTGTTACATTCAAACATTCTCAAAACATTTTGCAATCACAGAACAACATACATAATGTCAACAAGAGTGCAAAATAGCTGCTTGTAAATTGCAGCTACCTGAGAGACTGAATTAAACCTGGTTACAGTTGCTCTAACTGATATTATTAAGAAATGGGGACTGTAAACCATTCAAAAAAAAATTTAACAGGACCAACAATGGAATCTCCAATACAAAGAAAACTACACAACGAAAGATGTAGTAAGTAAATGGGACACTAAGACCATCTACATCTGGACAAACTAAAGAAGACAACGGAACAATAAGGTACAAACCGTGGACCGGGACTCTATGTAAGTTTTACAACTTACTCATACATGCAAGACATTTAAATTGTTTTGTAATTAACCTATGAATGTTATAATTGAGTCATGCTATGCTACTTTCACATCTCGAAGCCTCCTTCCTTCGAGATTTCACTAACCCTCATTTACCTAGAAAAATACACACCACATAATTCCTTGTTAATCACACAAAATCTAACTCTTACATAAGACACATCCATTCACACACATTCCAGATAGAATAATACAACACACACTAGAAAAAGGCAAAAGATACTACCAAATACTAATTTGTTTTGCAATTTTAAACATTCCAAAAACCATAAACACAAACAATGATCCTGTATGTTATTCAACAAAAGCTAAAACACATCTCGCAAATCAGAAGATATTCCATTCCACAAACATGCTGCACTCACCCACAGAACAATTGTAAAAAGAGCACACTGCACACTAAAAGAAATGCTTCAAAGGCAAAAAAGAGGGGAGTTGGTATATAGTCCCCAGGAACGCTTATGGAAAGCATCATATGTTCTAAATTTCTTAAACTGTGATGATACAAACCCATAGCAGGTATGAATAACAACATAAAACTCAAAATACTTTCATCTTCCAAAGCACCAGTTATGATTAAAAATCTAATATCTAGGCAATGGTCAGGACCAGTAGATCTCAGAACTTGAGGGAGGATATATGCCTGTGTATCCAAGGGTACCAAATTACAAAGGATCTCTTCTAAATGTGTCAGGCCTTATATTAGCCCTCCCTCAGAACAGAAACAATCACCAGAAAAAATGAGTGAAGAAACTGGATTTGAAGAAACATAACCAACAATAGTAAAAGGAACACACCACACATTGAGAAACATGCTATAAAAACACAAAAAAGGGAGGGAAAGAGATATGGGTCTGGTCCCTATATGTGTAAATCTACATTAACACTTCTTCAAAACAGGAACAATCACAAAGAAGCAATAAACAAACAGAACCAAAAGAAACACACAAACAGTAACCAATACAAACCCAAAACTCCATGATTCAAACACAATAAAGGGTTTAAGAATGCATGTGTTAGGAGAGAATGAAACAGTGGCCATCGGAATGTGAATGAGAAAGTTGAGTGGAGATATGTATGTGTGTGTGAATGCAAATACACTTTACAGGAAGATATCTTAAACACTCATTCAACAACACTACCTCGAACAACACTACTTCAAACACAACATCTACAACCCAACACATTTCCCTTTCAAATAAAGATGATGCCTTTACCCAATCACACAAAATTACCCTCAGATAAAAGATTCTACACATCTACAAACCCTGGCTAATTCAAGGTTGCTTGAATATTGCACAAACCAATAAAGTTGTAAACAGCTCAATAAAGGCCTTGTGATGATAGGCCCTGGTTTTTATAAACAGATAAGATAAGATTGGTTATATTAAGGATGTTTAAAAAATGTATTGTTTTACAACTTGTTAATTATTTAGAGAAGGGGAGATGTGGCAAGGAATTATGGGAGTTGTAGTTTTCCACCTTCTCACGCATGCTCAATCAATACTTGATTGTCGTTTGGAAGATCATGTGACATGTTTAAGTGCTGTATTTAAACCAAATTGTTTTGTAATAAACCTTAATTCTGCCCTGGCACTTGATTGTGTCACCGGCAGCGTTTGTGCCTTATTCACCACCTTACTCACACTTCACCTCACTCACACTTTACCTGAGATCTTCCCTCAAGACATCCCCTGCATGTGCTTTCCAAGTTCCCTCAGCTTTACCTCTCTGAAACTCTCAGTCCCCTCTGTGGTACCTCACCAAGGGTGACGGACTTCAAGAAGCTTTTTCCTCAGTAACTCCACTGAAACACCCTGCTGCCCAACAACCCCTACCTTTGTAACAGCCCAAAATCTGCTCTAGGGCAACTCCACAACCTTTCATCGCCTTTCAACTGCTCCCGTCCCACAGACCGGGGGAGGAGCAGGACACCGGAGGCTGAGGGGAGGGCCGGAAAAGCGGCGCAGCAGCAGCGACCAACCCGCCCTTGCTTTGCCCCACCCCGTCTCGTCTCCCTCAGGGCACCCTCAGGGCCCCTCGGTGACCCTCCAGAGCACCCTTTTCGCCCTGTGTCCCTCACAGCCCCTAAAGGGACACAGGAGACACACGCGTAGCCCTCGGGGCACCCTCTTCCCCCTCAGAGATCCGCAGGGACGCATCGGGCACCTGCCTCCCCCCTCAGCAACATGCGGGAAACCTGCCTTCCCCTCAGGGACACAGAGAACACACACCTCTCCCTCAGTGACTCTCAAAGTTCCTCACCAACACTCGGGGCACCCAATTGCCTCTCAGTGACCCTCATCAACAAACAAGGCACCTGCTTTCCCCCCAGCCACCCTCACAGCCCCTCAGGGAACCCTCTTCACCCACAGTGACCCTCCCAGAACCCTCAGCAACACACGAGGCAACCACTTTCCCCTCAGTGATGTACCGGACACCCACCTCTTCCTCACTGACCCTCAAAGCCCCTCAGTGACACTTGGGGCACTTCATGACCCTCACAGACCCTCAGCGACACACAGGGCACCTGCCTCCCCCTCAGTGACACATAGCACATCCTCCTTCCCCTCAGTGATACAGGGGGCACCAGCCTCCGTCTCTTGGGACCCTCAAAACCCTCAGTGACGCTCAGGACACCACATATTTCAACAGGCAAAATATCCCCTTCTCAGCTTTTCCCTCCAAGATTTTCAGTCCGTTCCTCACACTTTACCTGACATCTTCCCTCAAAACATCCCCTGCATGTGCTTTCCAAGTTCCCTCAGCTTTACCTCTCTGAAACTCTTAGTCCCCTTTGTGTTACCTCACCAAGGGTGACGGACTTCAAGAAGCTTTTCCCTCAATAACTCTACTGAAACACCCTGCTGCCCAACACTCTGTATTACCTCTGTAACAGGTCAAAATCTGCCTTAGTGCAACTCCACAGCCGTTAATCCAGCTTCGCTAAAGCGCCTTTCACCTGCGCCCGCCTCACGGACCGGGGAGTGACGGGACACTGAGGGGGCTGAGGGGGCTGAGGGGAGGGCGGGAAAAGCAGCGCAGCATCGGCGACCAACCCGCCTCGTCTGGTCTCCCTCAGGGCACCCTCAGGGATCCTCGGTGACCCTTCAGAGCACCCTTTTTGCCCTGTGTCCCTCACAGCCCCTAAAGGGACACAGGAGACACTCACGTAGCCCTCGGGGCACCCTCTTCCCCCTCAGAGATCCGCAGGGACGCATCGGGCACCTGCCTCCCCCCTTCAGTAACATGCGGGAAACCTGCCTTCCCCTCAGTGACAAATAGCACATCCTCCTTCCCCTCAGTGATACCGGAGGCACCAGCCTCCTTCTCTTGTGACCCTTAAAACCCTCAGTGACACTCAGGACACCACATATTTTAACCCCCAAAATGTCCCCTACTCAGCTTTTCCCTCCAAGATTTTCAGTCTGTCCCTCACATTTTACCTGACATCTTCCCTCAAAACATCCCCTGCATGTGCTTTCCAAGTTCCCTCAGCTTTACCTCTCTGAAACTCTTAGTCCCCTTTGTCTTACCTCAGTAAGGGTGACGAAGTTCAAGACGCTTTTTCCTCAATAACTCCACTGAAAGACCGTGCTGCCCTTTTGACGCTGCTGCTCAGCACTCTGTATTACCTCTGTAATAGCCCAAAATCTTCTCTAGGACGACTCCACAACCTTTTACCGAATTTCTCCAAAGCAACTTTCACCTGCGCCCGCCTCACGGACCGGGGAGTGGCGGGACACTGCAGCTGAGGGAGCTGAGGGAGCTGAGGGGGCTGAGGGGGGGCGGGAAAAGCAGCGCAGCCTCGGCGACCGACCCGCCCCGCCCCGTCTGGTCTCCCTCAGGGCACCCTCAGGGATCCTCGGTGACCCTTCGGAGCACCCTTTTTGCCCTGTGTCCCTCACAGCCCCTAAAGGGACACAGGAGACACTCACATAGCCGTCGGGGCACCCTCTTCCCTCTCAGAGACACAAAACACCCACCTCCCCCTCAGTGATACAGGGCATACTCAGGTCCCTCTCAGTGAGTCACACAGCCCCTCAGCGGTACACAAGGTACCCACCTCCCCCTCAGGGACACAGGTGGCACCCACTTTCCTAAAATAATTTTTTTTTTCAAATGATCAAGTTGGGATCATTCACACCTGAAAGTCCTTTAAAAAACCCACATTTGGCTGAGGCACTTCACACACACTAACCAGCTTTTGAGATTAATTTTGGAATGCTCAGAAAATTACAGAAGCATGAAACCAGTGAATAATTTAGGAATATTTTTGAAGGACTTGTAGTTAAAGGGCCTGTTAACTTGATATGATCCAGGTGAAATAGAGGAAAAAGGCAAACAATTTCAGTGATAAAGAATTAAATTAATACAATTAATTTATAGAAAATAGGCCTAATTTAACTCTCTGAGAGATTACAGATGTAATCCTACTGTGGAGATATCATATGCTTTAACTGTTAGCTTGTTAATCCAGCAAGCTCAAAATGCTACTGCTCATTTGAAATAGCTGGCACTGTAGCACAAACAGTCTGGAACTGATGGGTTAGAAAAATAATGCCAGTGAGAAATAATCATCAACAGTGAGGCTGTTTAAAATTGTGTCTTCCAAAGGAAGACACAATAAGAAAAGTGATGCCAGTTTTATGCATTCCCTTTAAATATTTTAATATTTAAATATAAAATCACCATAGACAAAATATGCAGATGACACAGAAATTTGACAGCACGACAGATAATGATGCTGAAGTCACACAGAGTAACATGGATAGTTTGGTAAAGAGAATAAACTCGTGCAGTTAGCTGCTGTTTTAATATATTCACATGAAGAGCTGTATGTCTAAAAAATAAAATTTTTAAGTATGGAGGGGAGGACAATATGCTTGAAAACAGCAACTTTGAAAAGTGCTTATAAATCATGTTGAACAACTGAGTCAACACACTGTTGTGTCTGTTGTGTGTGTGAGGTAAACAGGATTAAGAAGACTTTTAAAATCTATCCAGGAAGGCAGTGTGTAGGAATAGGAAGGCAATTTTTTTGATGAAGCCAGTACTTGAATATTGCTTACAAGTCAGGTGTCAAGTGTTTCTAACAGTGGAAGAAATGAAGGCGGTGTAAGAAGAAAGCCACAAAGATTATCTGAATGCTTGAAAAAAAAAGCCCTACTGTGAAGGACAGAATGAATGCAATTCGCTAAGCTTATCAAAAAAGAGTTTGAAAGGTAACTTGATTGTAGCAGAGAAGTACTAACACACAGAGAACATACTATGTATTAAAAGGCTTTTTAACCTCAGGGAAAAGATTCCTGTATCCTAAACCATTCAACAGCCAAACAGGCTGCTGCCCTGCTTACAGGGGGCTCCAGCGTGGGCACACGCCCAGACCCTGGCTACAGACGGGTCACGGTGCCTGTTATTTACATTTGAGTAAATAGTGATGTCTTTTCTGTTGTATGTCCTGGAACCAGAAAATGCTTAAATTGTCTTTTTTTGTTGTTGTTGTTTTTTTTTTTAAGTGAATTTTAATACCTGTGGTTTGGATTTGAACACATGTCAAGGGACACTTCTAACAGTCGTTTTAGCTGTGTCTAAATATAGACACAATATAGAGACATACACAATATAGAGATTGGAAAAGGGGGTGATAGGTATAGGGAGGGAACGAGCAAGATTACAGTGTCACTATTCCAGTCTGTAAGAATCTCCAGTCACTGACTATTTCTTGTGTCTCTCTTTCTCCTGATAAATGTCACTATGCAGACACTGATCAGACAGTAGAATACTTAGGAGTTTATTTTGAGTTAATGGGTTGGTGAAGTCCAAACTCTGCAACATGATAAAGAAAATATTTTTCTACGAGAAGCATCAATTATTCACAACATAGCCACACCTTAGGAAAAGAGGGGGAGAAATGGACTCTGGAAATAAATGAGAGGGCTCCATAGTGTAAAAGTAAAATAGATCATTTTGAAGGAAAGGGATCACTGCAGAATCTAATTCATTTGCAAAATCCTCTCCTCAATTTAGGCTCCACAGTAATTGTTAAGTCTTCCCTTTTGATGAGTTTTATCAAGGTTTTTTGGTGTCTTTTGCCACTTGTTTGGGATGAAATCTAAGAACACATAACCAGCCCATAACCCAGGGAGGTGGTGGATTCACCATCCCTGGAGGTTTTTAAGATGAGACTGGATGTGGCATCAGTGCCATGGCCTGGGAACCACGGCGGGGTTGGATCAAGGGTTGGACTTGATGATCTCAGAGGTCTTTTCCAACCCGGTGGATTCTGTGTATTCATAGGCATTGACCTTTTTGTAAGTGTTCATCCCTGCTCTGAGTTTTCTTTTATTCTTACTGCATAACTGCCTGGTCTATTACTCTTTTTTTCATTCTATGTAGTTATTTTCAGTTCACTGTAAATGCTTTAACACCACTGTTAAGTATTCAAAGATGTGTAAACTAGCTTCCTTTAATTTTATACTGCCCTGGAATGTAAATGTGGAGGAAATGAGTAAAAGTAAAACGAAATTGAATTGGTTTCATGCACTCATTGCAGGGGAAGATTTAAATCTCACAATACGTGGTTGAATTGTTTGACAATGAAGAGAGCAGTAGCCTGATAACATTTTCCCTCATAAGTATTTTATGAGCTGTCACATCCTCATTGCTCTGTACTTCTGTGCCCAGTGATGAGATTTTCCGATCTGTGAAAAATTCTGGCATTTAAGGCATTTCTTTATTTTGTATTAGAGAATATGTCAATAACCTCAAATTGTTAAATAGTCCCGCGCGACGCCTCTTCCGCTCTCTTCTCCGACGGCTTCTGCCAGGGCGGGAGGAGGCGGGTGGGCCCGAGAAACACCAGCTCCTCCGTACCAAGGCAACCCGCACCCCACGCCCCCGGAGGCACATCTCCAAGCCCCTCCCCGCCCCCCCACAGGCCCCCCCACTTCCACCAAACTCTCCAAGCTTCACTTGGACTCACCACGGCGACGCACGGCGCAGTCCCAGCCGCTGCGGGGAGCCGGGCCCTCTGGGCAAAGGCAGCTGGGCATGCGAAGCAGCGGCCAAAGAGCCTGCCGCCCTGCTTACAGGGGGCTCCGGCTGCTGCCTGGACCACAGAGCGCCTGGGACACCAGGGCACCGGCCCCGACTTACAGGGGGGCCCTGGGCCCAAAGGCCCAAAGTTCGCGCGAGTTATTTACACCTCCTCTGTACAAACAACGCTACCAGTTCGTCAAAGATTTAGTGGAGAAATACAAACCTAAGAAGGTTGGTATGTATTGTTGTCTCTCTAGGTTATAAATTTGAAAAGAAGTTGACACTTCATATCTCAGAAAGACAAAATGCACGGATAACCTTTTGACTCAATTACCAAGCTCAATTACAATTTTGGATGAGCTGCTGTTAAAATTGAATTGGTGATAATGTGTTGTTTTTCAGGGATGCATATAATTAATGTTACTTGATGGGAAGAGGAGACTATTTAAACGAGAGAAATGTCTTAGCCTGTTTTGGAGAGTAGTGGGCATTCTGGTTTTAATTTAAAGCTGAGTAATTCGGTTCAAGCTGCTTTCATCACAGTTGGGATTTGCTTTCTAGAGTTGGTTGTTCCATATGCAGTATCAGGTTTGCCTCATCATTCACATGACTGTTCTCAGTTGAGAAGTGACACTGAGAGTGTGGGATTATGTGAGGCTCACTCATCTCCACTTGCTTAAGATCTTGTGACCCTTTCTTGTGTTGTCCGTCTCAATATACCAGAACTCTTGTTTCAATACTACTTGGGAAAGTTAAATTAATTAAATTATGTACTGTAGTGTTTGCTCTTTTCTAACATGTCCTCTCCCTTTCCTCCCCCAGAAGCAGTTCCCAAATCTGCAGTGTTTAATTCTGAAACTGATGCTAATCTTTTAGGGGGCATGCAAAAAAATTATGAGAAATGCACCTGCAGTGCACTTAAATAATCATAATTCTGGTAGCTAATAAAAATCTATGAGGTCATGGCACTGTAATCTGCTTTTAAATAGAACATATTCACCAGTGTTGCATCTGTATTTAAAGATTTGAATTTTCTGATTTAGGATGTGGAAGGGGTGAGAGGGTAAACTTTCTGTTTACCCATGGGGTAGAGATAAGCTGGATAGAAACAATTCAGGATTTTCACAGGGAGAACAGCAATGTGCTTCAACCTTGACTGAGCCTGAGAAAGAACAGGGTGGGTTGGTTTGTGTATCCAACTATCTCTTAAGCTTACAGAAAGAAATATCTATTATTTGATTTTGTGGTCTGAATATCCCCAGAGTTCCCCACTTAAACATTAGACTGAGCCTGTAAACTTGTTTTGTGCAGATTCTTTGCTGGTAACTTGGCTGCTGGTGAGCCTGTTTTAAGAGCAGACCAGTGAAAAGCAGTTGTGAATGTGAAAATTGCTATAGCTTTGGTATTTAAAATCATACCTTACTGTTATTCATGTGGAAGACATTTTCCAGTGTCAGTGGGATGTTCTACATGTACTTTTTTATAAGTGTAATAACAAAAGGTTAATTCTTTTAAAAAATCTTGCAGGATGTTCATATACATGTTTTAAAAAGAAAAAACCATTTAGTTTTGGTTGTGAAATGCTTTATCATTCAAAAGTTATTTTGATGTAAATATGGACTTTTAATTTTATTAAAATCTCTGAAATTGCTTGGAAATATATAGCATTTACACATTGTTTAATATATAATTTACAGGTGGCAGATTTAGGATGTGCTGACTGCAGGCTTCTCTGGATGCTGAAATTCTGCAGTTGCATTGAAGTGTTAGCTGGGCTAGATATCTCTGCAAGTGTAATGGAAGAGAAAATGTAAGCTCTTTGATTGTGTTTTAAGGTTTGTATTTGTCTTGATGTAGTGGTGTGGTGGGTTGACTGTGGTTGGAGGCCAGGTACTCACCAAAAGCTGCTCTGTCACTCCCCTCCTCAACTGGACAGGGGAGAGAAAATACAATGAAAGGCTCATGAGTTAAAGGGCAGGGACAGATCACTCACCAGTTACCATCATGGGCAAAACAGACTTGACTTGCGGAAATTAGTTGAATTTATTATCAAAATCAGAGTAGGATAATGAGAAGTATGGCAAATCTTAAAAACATCTTTGCCCCCACCTCTCACTCCTTACCAACTTTAACTTTATTCCCTCCCCACCAGCAGCACAAAGAGACAGGGAATGGGGATTACAGTCAGTTCCTCACATGTTATTTCTGCTGCTGCTTCATCTTCGAGGAGAGGAGTCCTTCCCCTGCTCAACCATGGACTTTGCCTCAGAAAAGCCACCTCTGGAGCTCCCTGATTAGCAAAACCTTGCCACGGAAACCAAATACAAGTGGCATGTTGCATTACTGCTTGTAGAGGTTTTAGAGTTAGGTAACTGCAGAAATACCAGCTGGCAGTTGAAGAGCTCTCTGTCAGCCTTGGTTACATTGGGTCTGTGCCTGGGGCCCCCTGGGCTGTGGGTGCCCATAATGTCACCTAATGTAGCCAGAGGTCTGGGTCATGGAAAGGCCCTGAAGGTGTGCACACCTGAGACATACACTGTTTGTAAAGGCACTAATGCATTGTATTAGTTTTCAGTTTATGCTTATTATTGTCTTCAGAAAGATCAGTTTGAATCTTTTTTGAAATGTGCATGTAACTTTTTAGTCACCGTGGTGGGGTCTTGGTTCTCGTTTATTTTTTTGTAATGGAAAGCTTAGCTCAATGTGTGGTGTCTGGTTTAGAAGCCTCTAAAATGAGAGGTTTATATGATCTTTGAAGCATTGGTCAGACTGGTGAACATAAATTTCTTTCTTGGAAGCTCACTAATACAATTTCAGTGAATATGTAGGATCTAGATGCTGATGTTATCACTTGCTCTTTCTCAAGAATGAAGAGAAGTAACCTTTTATATTTAACATTTATTGTGTATTTTGTCTAATGCAGTATTTCAGAATGAAATTTGCACATATACTTTGGTTTCTCAGTGTCTTTTATTTGGAAAAAATAGGTAATATGTGTGCCTAAAACTTCCCCCAAAACCCTGCAAAGTGTGTCTAAATCAGACTTACTGTGTGTCTAGTGTTGAACTACTATCAGAACTTACAAGTGGCTTTCCAAGTGACTTGAAAATGTAGTGGAAATTTTTGTAAACATCAAGGACAGCTTCTGGATTAACTTCTGCTCTTTCTGTCCTGTTGTAGGTAGTCATGAAAAGTGTTTGTATTGGATATTCTTTTTTATATCTATGTAAAATAGTTAACCTTTTTGAGATTCATGAGATATCTATGTAGGGTGTTTACTAGTTCATTTACGTGTAAAATTTTCCTTAAGGTCCTTTCTGTAACATCTTATTTTTAATACCTTTGTAGGCATACGTTGTCTCCTCTTCCTTTTGATTATTTGCAACCATCTGAAAGATCCCTAACTGTTACCTTGCATCATGGTTCAGTGGCCCATAAAGATCCTTGCATGCTTGGTTTTGACTTGGTGACATGTATTGAACTGTGAGTATTAGGCCAATGCTCTACATTTCTCTAAGTTCATTAGAGTTCAGCTTGGAATTTTGTCCATGCTCCAAATAGACTTGATCAAACCTTTCAAGCAGAAGAGTAGAAGTAGAAAAGTAGCAAATAGAAGAGCAGCATCCTCTAACTTGTGCTTAAATTAGCCATACTAAACTATTCAAGTGGTGCTTGCATATGGTGGGAGAAAGATACTGATGAAAAATTGCAAAATGCAAGAGGAGACTTGGTCAGACAAAACCCCTGTGTGGCCACTTGGCCACAGTGCCACTGCTGATATTGCAGAGCTAGGTGTAAAATTACAAATTACAGATACGGGTTTGGGGTGGGTTTTTTTGGCTGGTTGTTAAGATTAAAGTATCATAGGGTTTTTTTAAACACAGACATCAATTTACTCTTTTCAGAATAGAACACCTGGAAGAATCAGAGCTGAAGAAATTTCCTGAAGTGGTGTTTGGTTTCATGGCTCCAAGCATGGTTGTGATCAGTACTCCAAATTCTGAATTTAACCCTTTGCTTCCAGGAGTGGTGTTGAATAGGCATCCAGATCACAAATTTGAGTGGAACCAAGCGCAATTTCAAAGCTGGTAAGCTCACTGAACATGTATGCTGACAGCTCTGGGTGCCCAGGAGTGTGAGAAACAAATGGCCTTTTCACATATGTAGTTTCCTGTCAGTGAAGTGTCACCTCCTGACTTGGTGAAATGTTTCTTTGCTGGTAAGAGTAGTTAAGCATGTTCTGTGGGTTTTGTGTTTTATGATGGTTAAGTTGATGGTTATGATGGTTAAGTTGATGGTTAAGTTGACTTGCTTTTACTGTAGCTGCTCTGCAGAAAACATTGAAAACTTTTACCTACCTTTTTGTATACCTTTATTACAATTAACACATTTGAAGTGTAAGGTATTAATTAGCCTTTTCACATATAGAAATGCTTTATAAAACCCTAAGAAATGTGCTCAGTATGTATGTGCAAAGTGCTCAGTTAGTCCAGACCTTTCTGTAAGAGTGTGCAAGCAGAGTTATGAAATAACCATAGAGCAGGGCATGTTGGATAAAACTGAGGATAGTTTGGTGGATCATGGCACAATGAAATGCAAAACGTATGTATGTGACAGAGGATTACATGAAATCCGTCTGACTCTTAGTATCGGTAGGTGTAATAAAAATAAAAGCAAGAGGGATATGTGTCCTGTGATAACATTCAACTGTCAAGCAGTTGTGGAAGAAACTGTATCTTGGAAGTTTGGCCCCTTAAATTATGTTGTTTCTGCCACAGACTTTAAAGTATCCAGTGACTTTTGAGTATGTAGTTTTGCAAAGCTTGAAGCATATATTTTTCCCTACATAAGGATACTAAAACCTGCCTGCATTATTAGTAGAGATCATTTTTATGACTTTAAGTAAATTTAGATTCTGCTTTTAGATATATGTGAATTAAAAATATTGATATCACTGAACGAGTGATTTTTTTTTTAAGCTGTAAACACAAAGTCTTTGTGTTGTGAACTATAAGTATTGCAATATTCTCTAAAATACATGGGATGTTAATTTAGTTTACTGCTTTCTCATGGAGAATGATGCAGGTAGACAGTGCCATTTTAGTTCCCTGCCCCATGTTTTGTTCACACTGGCTGATGTACTACAAGGTGGTTTTCATTTAGATGTCATGTACCCTGTTGTAACCTTTATTAGGTAGACTTTACTCTTTATACATATACGACAAACCACCCTTTTATTTTCCCTATTAACTGGTCTCCTGGGTTTTTGGGTTGTGTATATTTTTTATGAGTTCTTCTCAAATAATTTTGTTCTTGGAAATCGGTAGGTTGTAGCTCAGTTCTAATATATTTAAGTTGGTGACTAAGCAACTTTGAGCATGAACTTTCTATGCACACAGTTTAGAAATAATGGTAATGTTTGGATGCCTAAATTACTGATACTAAGTGACTCAGACTGTGGCAGGCATATGATTACAGCTTTGATACAGCAAGTTTTGACAGCACTTATCTTCAGGCATGTGAGTATTGTTAGGGAAATTGGGCACAAGCATTCACAGGCTCAGGGTCTTGCTTCTCCTTGAGCGTGCATGTTTATCACATGAAAAGATGAATATTTCATATGATTGGAATAATTTGTCTTTCTTAGGGCTCTGGAGGCTGCTAGATGCTATGATTACTCCGTGGAATTTACTGGTGTAGGGCACCCACCAAAAGGAATGGAGAATGTTGGGTTTTGTACCCAAATAGGTGTGTTTGTTAGAAAATATCCTCGATCTGGTGGATCTGTTCAGTATGAGAAACCCACTGAAGCAGTTTACAAAACAGTAAGTATTATTTTCTTCCTTTAGAGGTATAAATAAATAGTAAAATTGTCTATGACTGCACGTGAAAGTGTTGTTACCATGGACTACTATTGCTATCCAGTCTTAGCTCTGATTGTCACACACCATCAGATCAAGAGAGTCTCATTCTATGATTTGTGTTTCTAATTGTATAAAGGCCTTTAACTTTTAGAATATTTGCTAAACAACACTATGGATAATCATTCTTAACATACTCTTATCTTTAGAATAAAAATTTTCAATTCTGCCAGGTATACTATTTTTATAATTTTTCCTCTAGTCATTCATTTCATTTATTATGTGGTTGTTGGCAATTACACATATCTTTCAGATTCATTAAAAAAAAAGGCAAAAAAGGCATTTCTAGCTAAATGCCTTGTGGTATAAATCAATTTTTTTCAGAGACAACATGAAGTAATAATGCAAAAATAAATACACTGTTTTGGTTTTGGGGTTTTTTTTCCAATTTTATGAGGCCTTGTTTCAATGAACATACATATTCAGTTCTTTCTCTAAAAATATATATGTATCTTCAAATGACTTGTGACCTGAACTGAAACACAAACATATCTTCTGTAGTTTCCAAGCCATAAAAACATTTGTAATTTCTGTATTTCAAATTTCTATACATGTGAAATATCACCTGTCATCTACTGCCATTAATAAAATCTTGAAGTGGTCTGTAATGCTCAACAAACTTGGAAATATGTCTAGGTGATGGACATGTACTAGAAATTGCTTTCGTTATCTCCTGTTACAGGGCCATTAAGGAGGGAGTTTTGACATTGATATTCCTTTGAGTTTAAACAGGAGTGTTAATCTCCTGCGTTTCTTATCAAAGTAATTTTTATTATGTAACTAATTTACGGGAATAAATCAATATTTCAGGATGCAGTTGAAAAGTAGGAAATAATTACAGACAGTGGAACTTCATTGGTACCCTGTTGATATAAAGCACTTCCTGGTAAGCTGGTGGGAATGAGTTTGCCTGCCTAGTTTCCTTAATTGCCTCAGAGTAAAGCTCAGTGTAGAACACACAGGTTCACATATTTTAATGTCACAATTTATTTTTAGCGTCCCCTGCAGCTGTGAAAGCATATTTAATGTTTTATTCTGAAAACAGAATAAATGACATGCTGTAGTCCTGTTTTCCAGATGACAGTTCAGAACTAGTTCAGAACTGTCACCAGCACCTCATCATGAGTAATGTGAAAAGTAAGAGAATTATTAAAAAGAACTAAGGAATTACAGGACTTCCCCTTGCACATTCTATGAGTGTAGCTTGCAGGTATAAGCCTGTATTTGTTTTTTTTTAAATTCCGTTAACTGCTATTGTAGTTGTAATATATAAAATCAACTCATATTGCCTAGTTTTTGGTATCTGAAAATGTTTAATAAGCAAAACAGGATTGAATAAAAAATTATGTTCGCATTTTAGAGAGGTTTTTTGACAGCAGATGTTAAAACTCTGACCCTGTGATAGTGATAAACATTTTATATGTTCTTGTATGTTGTAAAGGTCTTCAAAGCAGTGTATCCAAGTCTGAAAGATGAGAAGTACTTGCAGAATGCAGTTGTCAGTGAAGTTATTTTCACAGCCCAAAACATTAAGCACCATTTAATGTCAAAACATGAGGAGTGTGATGATGATCCTGAAAGAAAATCTGAATTCCAGCCTTCAGTCAGCTCTTTTTCAGACTATCTTGGAAAACTGGTTGTTGATAAAGCCATGGAACCATTTGTCAATGGAAATGAGGTCTGTATACCTCTTGCAGCAATCTTTTCTTTTCCCAAAGTGAATCAACTGTGTGGTACCTTTGAGAAGTTATGCAAACTCATTGCTGGCAAGGTCACACTGAGCAGTGATGGTTCTGCTGTGGTGTTCAATACTGAACATGAAACTGAGGAGGATTAGATCACAGATTTCTTATGCAAAATTCAGTTAAAGTAATTAAAGTGGTTTTTTAGTAGCTGTCAAATGGTGTGTGCTGTATGCTAACCAGAACACACAATCTTTTCTAAACCTCCCCTCGGTGGTTAGCACCTCTCTCTTATGGAGCAAAGACAAAAACAGCAGTAACTCACAGGGGTTTCAAGCAGACTATCAAGAGGGTAAAAGGAAATAATTAATTCCCATGAAGAAAATGAAATATTTCTGTTTGCTTTCTATTACCTTATTGTAGCTATCATTACTAGATTATTTTTAGTAATCTCTTGTTAGCTCCCAGAGTAGTTGATGATAACATGAATTATGTTGTTGTGCTGAATAATGTGAGTCAAACATTGGATTAAGGCAAGTTTTTTCTTACTAGAATGAAATTTATAGGTGCTTTCTTCAAGATGAGCACGTCCTCAGCCTTGATGAAAACCAAATGTTGTTCCAGATGAATGGAAATATGAAAGTGGTATTGTTGACTGTTCTTTTTTTTAAAGAAAAAAAATTTAAGAAGTGCTATACTTGTGAATGCTAATCTAACCCTGGTGTACCTGAAAATTTTCTGTGTTTTCATGTGCAGCTGTTATTCAAAACTGTAAAATCCAAATAGAATAAATGAAAAAAACTTCAAGAGCAATCCATACCCCAGTAATGGTTTTGCCTTGGTATAGTAGTTGTGTGTATGCAGCAGTGGTATATAAGTGGGGCTTGTTTTCAGTCATGAGATGTTTTCCTTCTATATTAGAAAAAGATCTTGTGTCTAAATGACACATTTTCCTTATAACATACATGTTGCTAAAACAGTGTGAAAACACAGTAGTAGAAAAAGCAAAACATTTTAAAAAAGAAATAATTAACTGGAAAATTTTTTTGCTGATGAGACTTGCCATTTATTCTATAAGGAACCTGTTGACTCATGAAACAAAGAGGAAAGACAACAACCACAAAAGAAATTCTAGGATATTCTGGTGAAGTTTTGGAAAAAATTGTCTTCCTTTTTGACTGAAGTTAGTTATATGTGGTACAGTTAATTCTCTTAATCCTTACTCTTCAAATAATTGGTTACTGAACTGATCTGAGTGCCAAATAGTTTGTACTATAATTAGCTCCAATTTTCACCAATCTAGATTTTTTTCTTAATTTAAGAACAGATACTCAGTACGGTACCAGAAAGCTTGGTTATTTTGAATGCATAAATGAGAAAAGAAATACATACCACAGTTAGTTTTTTAAAAAAATAAGAAGGTAATTTATAAAGTTATAGAAACCATATGAAAAGTTTTTAGTAGGTCATTATACTCAACTGAGGAGGATTAATTTTGTCATTTGCAAGGTGGGCAGGGACTACACCCAGTGCCCTCACTTTGCCCAAGTACTGCTAGTTGTGGAGTTTGCTTAATAAATTAACCTCCCAGTATGCCTGCCACATTAAAACTGATTTTTTTCTTTGTGTAAGACTGACATACTACTTTTCCTCTCCAGGAGGCAGATAAATAACTGTACTAGTAACAGTGCCATTAAATACTTTGTGGACTGGAGAGGGAGTTTAATAAGCTGCAGGGGTAAAGTTTGAAAAGAGTAGAGAAACTGAAATGGACACAAACTTCCATTTAAGTTTGTAATTTTTTGCATTTAAAAAAAAAAGACATAATTGTTTAGGAACAGATTCCAAGCTGAAGACATGAGTTTATTGAATGTCTGAGAGATTTGCATTTAAATACAGTAAAAAAACCCCCATAACCCACCCACACATCCTGAACAGTTTACTATATAGAAGTCTCCAGTATTTCTATAACACAGTTTACAAAAAGGAAAATACAACACCTAAATATGAAGGTTATATTCCACTTAAAATACACACAATTAGAGAATCACTTCATGAAGAGCTGTAACTCAAGTCAGAAGAATAAATTACTAGGATACAATTTTATTAAAAGTTGGATTTCTATGTCAACTTCCCTAAAACATCTGCTCAGGCAAGAAAATAATTATTTCTAGTAAAGAAAGTATCTAATCTATGACAATTAGCTGTGTCTTTTAACATAAAACACAAATCTGGGCTATGGAAATTCCCTTGAGAATTACATAAGTAGCTGTACAATGTTTTTTAAAAGTCTGTTTTCCTCAAACTATATGTAGTTTTCCTCAAACTGTATGTAGTTTTCCTAGTAAACTTAAGTGAGTTACCATCTAGCTACTAAAGGTTTTAATAGATTTGTCAACAAGTGTAGTAAGAGTACTGAAAGCAAATAATGTATTCAAATATACAATGTTACGAGTTAGTTATGTGACAGGAAAGGAAACTATAATGTTGTGACAGATAATTGTATACTAGCAGTTGAGTAGTTTCTGTTTAAAATTCCTGTGGAGAACAGAAATGGATAATACCACACTTCTATTAACAGCAGCTAGAATGGAATCTTTGCATTAATTCTTTTAAAGAGATTATAATCAACAGTAGGAAATAAAAGTATTTAAGTACCGAAACTGAGAAATTGCTCATATTCTTCATATTCAATAACAGTACTCAAGCTTTAAAATCTGAGATTTCCTTAAAAATACAAATAAAAATTAGTTTAATAATTCTGGTATGGATTTCTAGAAAACAGTCTGCTTTTTCAGATTTAACCTATTAAATATGGCCTACTTCTATTTCAATAAAAAGGTGTCAAACATCACTCTGAGCAGAATTTGAAGCATTCTGAGCTTTCAAAAGTGACCACACTATTTCTATTTATTCCAAGCCTTACTGATAAACAGTACCACTAAACATAAAATTAAAGCCGTTTGCAGTTTACAATTAATTACACATGTCACCTAACATATCCCTTCAAAAATGGATTCTTTCCTATTCTCAGTGAAAATTTAAAGAGATCTTTCTTGCCTGTTGAGCAAGTCACTACTTGTGCAAATTCAAATACAGTACATTGACTTTAATGCAACAGTGGACAGATAGTGAAGAAAGTTCAACAAAGATGTTGCACACTAAAACTTTTTCAGAGTGCAGAGTATGTCTACAATAAAGTGCTTCTCTTAACAAGTTATAATAATAATAATAGTATAGATGTTTACCTAGTTTTAAAGCTTAAATCCTTAGTAAATTCTTTAATCTCCCTGTACGTCCCCAACCCCGCAAGGCACATTCAAAACACAAGCAAAGCACTAACTGTGAAGGATTAAGCTACAATAAAAAAATGTACGTGGTAGTAAACTACTGACTAGGTTTGTAAACAGTACCATCCCATTGAATCTTAATGTTCATGCATTGTTGGAGCGAGTTCCTGTGGAAGCAGCTTCTGTCCTCCAGATATAACAATCAAGCCAGCTTTCTTGCTAAAACTCTACTGTGTCTTAGTGTTTTGATGTGGATTCCCACTTTTTTCATCACTTGAACAAAAAACATGTCACATTTGATGCATTTAAACCTGTGAACTTGATTTACAGTTAACACAATTGATTATTGTCTGGTTTAGATGTATTTAGTTTAGTGGTGTTTTTTTTTTTAAATGTGTGTGGAGTTCACTTCTGCCATTCAACCTTACAATAAAGTTGTGCTCAGTACTCCTAAGCTTTTAGTTCTGTTAAAACATAGCTGGGCTGTTTTGTGGAGGCCACAACATTGGCTTGATAATGACTGACTTGATAGAACTAATTAGCCTCTATAAGACTACAGTGGCAGGTAAGAGCAAATTGAGTAATTACTTTTTTCAGGTGCATTTAAGACCAACTTTCAGAAGCTTCTTTTCTAATGAAGTCATGAACAAAGTACATCACCACAAGTGATCTCTTGTGTAAAATACCAAAATGGGACTCGCTTCATCATGCTTCCAAAGATGTTTCACACAAAAATTAATTCCAATAACATCAGATAGAGCTTAAAAAAACAGTCCAAGTGCTCTCACAAGGTATACACAGTTAAACATTGCCTTCATACCACAGAAGATGATGCTCTATGAGCAAGAGGCATTCCATTTCTTTTCAGAAAAATATCACATCAAGTTAATTTTGTGTTTCTCAACTCTTGCAACAGAGCAAACAAAACCAGAAGTATCAACACCAGAGCTCAAAGTTTTCCTCATTTGCATTCTAGTTCAGCGTTTTATCACCACCTGTTCATATGCTCCAGATCCTACTCTGAAAGTTTGAAAGAAATTAGTTCAATGTCAATTTAAATGGAAGCTAAAGAACAAATGTCACAGATCAGCAATTTTATTGTTTAATCAACCCAACCAACCAACACCCAGCCAAAAACCCCCCAACAAACCCCCCAACCAAACAGTTAAATGCAAAGGATGATTATTATCATACCACTGAGTCACTTACAGTTTAATGAGTCACTTACAGTTTAATGCATTTAAGTGGTTTTTGTTATACTAAAGCCAAAATAGAGAATGAAAAGCAATGTTACTGAAAAAGAAGTTACTGTTGGACTTCTCTATAATTTTTTAAACATGACCTTTAGGATACTCCTCCCCACAGCTATATCATATGCAGCTAATACTTTTAATACAAATTTATTCATAAACAGATAAATTATCTAAAAAACCAGTAAGTGACAGTCATCTTACATTAGAATGCAAGAAAACCATCTTCCAGTCTTTTGTTCATGCATTCTAAAAAAACCTCTCTCAACCCCTCCACATGACAGACCATAGTGGATGGTTTTCCACGGTAAATTGCAGTACTGTGTAAAAAATTAATGGGGCAAGCTCTGCCTTAGTTTAGTAGTGTGCCTGGACTATTGTGGTAAAACTAAATTAGGACAGATCTCTCTATACTACAGAAGTGTATTCTGTACCCAAACACGTCATCTGAGATAAACATTGGTGTGCTCAGTTTCCAGCTAAGCCAACTAATCATCTTTTAACCATCAGGATTGCTTGCATGTATCAAAGGCAATTATTTTATTACTTTCAACGCATTAGTAGCTGCCTTTATACCTAACTTCAGAAATAACTGCTGAAATACTAATGATGTGCTAATTTCTTGAGATAAAAATGTTGAGTTATATTGGACTGTAGAAACATGGTATTAGAGCATATTCTCGCCTGTTTCTCATGCTTCTCATCTGAGAAGATTAATACATTCAGGTCAAGTCATAGAGTATTTGAAGAGGGTTTAGAGAAGAAAAAATGTCTCTTGTTCTGAAAAAACTACAAGAAGATAATCTGAAGCAGATTATCAAAGGAGTGGGTACAGGGCCGCAAATAGTTGAAAGAGAAACAAACCATTGAAACAAACCATGTAACAAATGGAAACAGAATTTGTGAGAAAAACCAAACTGAAGAAAATAAGGCTTGTTATCAGGAAGACATGCAAGTTTGATACTGTAAAGGTAGATGTTAAAACACTTAAAACTTTCCACTCCAGTGGAAAGGCTATAGAGCTAAGATTTGAAACTGGTGTATGTTTCCTGTGTTGATACAGAAACACTGCTCATATCTGAAAACTTTGGAACTGGGATTCTTCAGGAGGTTTGGAAGTTACAATTCTTATGGCTGACACATCAGTTCTGTTTTGGAACTAATCTGTGTGTTCTGTTCTGTTTTAAAAGCTGACAATCTAGTTCTTTTGGTGCTTTTAAATGATGCAAAATAAAAAGATACAAAGATCAAGAATATAGATAAAGAGTAATTGCATTTTTATTTAGTATTGTCTATGAATTAGTTGTTTAGGTTACATACCTGTTAGGTAGATGATGGCTTCCAAAAGAAGTGCTTCCACCAGGGCCCACAAATAATCTTAAACCTTCCTCTAAAAGGCAAGTGAATTAAAATATGTTAGCTATATGTTGCCCTACTGAACACTAAGTAATTTTGAATCTACTAGTTTTGTAGCTGATACTTTCAGATGCAAATATGTCAATCAATGAAGAACCAAACTTCACATGGTGTAGGTTGGAGGAACTACTTTTGTTGTAGATTCGCACCTGCTCTTTTTAGGCTTAAAGTAATTACCTGGGAAAGTTCCCTGAGTCATGTAAGGGTTTTTAAACTTTTGGGAGACAGGGTGAAGCAGAAAATGTAGTGATCCATGTGCACAGTCCTTATGATTACAAGCAACAGGGACTATGAAGAGAGTGGATTTCCCTGTGGCCTGTAAAGTACATCAATTTTTTCTAATGTTTATCTCCATACCTTCTGCACTTGAGTCTAAACTGAAGTCTTGACTCTGAAGTATTTTTTCAACTATATCATCAGCATCAACTCTGGTAGCATCAACCCTCTTTAGCTGTGACTCCACAGAATCTTGCTTTACAGGATGTCTGCAAAAATAAATATATTTAGAGCTCTTAGAAGGAATTTGTGTTTTTTACTTCTACTAGATAATGCCTTCAGGTTAAGTGTACCTGCATTGCGTTTCTGATGGTGCATCTTCAGGAGATGTATCAATATTAGCTTCAGTTACTTTTGGCTCAGACTCTTCACATGGCTCTAGAATACTTCCAGTTCCTGTTGAGGTACTCCCCACTGAGGTACTCCCCACTGAGGTGTTCCTCCTGTGGCAGAGTTCAGACAGACTGGATGATCTAGAGTGACATGTACTATATCCTGTTGGAAAAATGCAGGAGAGTTGGGTTAGGTATGTTGTTGACAGCCAAGGTCCATCCTGAAAGCAGAATTCGTGTTTTGTCTTCTTATCAAGAGACTTCAAAAGCCCTATGAATGTATGTGCATACATCAACTAGGGAATTCAGGTTTTGAATTCTAGCACATGCCATTTTCTTTTTGTTCTAAATAACTCTTATTTCATAACAAATATCATGGCAAATGTCATTCCCTTCAGCTTTTAGAGCTATGTCTCTATTTGCAAGTTGTTTTTACACGTGGAAGATGTGAAAATCTCATTCAGATATCATAGTTGAAGGGAACGAGGGCAAAAGCTCTCTGGCATTGGAAGAGATCATTCATTGTGATTTTAAGAGAGGAAAAAGCGTTACCCTCAGCACACCTGAAGGTCCTAGGAAAAAGCTTTCAACTTCATAACCTTTTTAAAACATAAAGTACATTTATTGTTCTACATAAGTAGAAAGTAAAGAATTCCCCAACAACTTGTAACAAAATTATTAACAGCTACCTGACAATTTTGATTGCTGACTTGCATAGCTTGATGTTCTGGAATGTCCACATGCACCAAGTTCATCTGGGACAGAGGCACTCTTTGATGAGATATCTGCAACATATCCAAGTCAGATAGTGTTCCTAAAGCCAGCTTTATTACTGTTTTGCCTGTAATCTTGATTAGATTAAAAAATCAGATTTCCCAGAGGGATTAGAGATTTGACACTGGTTTTCTGCAAACCTTCTGGAGATTCAAGTGCTGCAAAAATACCGTGTATGTTAATGAATATGCATTCCTTAAAAAAAAAAAAATCATAATATGTATCTGAGTAAAACAGAGAACAACCAGAATTAGAAAGACTTGTATGAAATGTAGTTCTAGATTTGTCTACAGTGTCAACATTAAAGAGGTGACCATGCTTTCTCTAGTATCATAGTAGAATGTTGTGCCAGATGTTTTCTGTCTGGGAAATTAACTGTGGTTAAGAGCTTCAGCTGTGTTTGGAGTAGAAACTAATAAGCCATGTAAGAAGGTTGCTTTGTGGGCCAACTGTCAGCATCCCTTTAAGATTTGAAGTATTCTGTACATCTCCTTGAAGCTGTGAGGTCAGTTATTAAAGCATTGAGAAATTAAGAGCATTATTATTTACCTGCTATACCCAGATGTGCTACTTTTAAGTTTTCTCCACCTTTCCTGTCTTCATGCAAAGATTCTGATTCTCCAGCAATTGCTATAGATGTTGCTGTGGAAGGAGGCCTGTAAGAAAAAGGTGGTTCAGATTTGCTGTACTTTTGTTGTAATCCCTCCAAATTGATTAACACATAGTTCTTATTTCAAATAAGTTGGCGTAATTCATACTGAGCATCAGGTTAACAGACCTACAATTCTAGTCCCCTGTTGAAGGAAAAAAAAAAAAAGCCTTTTCTACTGAGCTTAAGGACATTTTACAGAATCCATCTGCTCAGCCCTCAGTCCCTAAGGCTTCTGGGGATCCCGGGAAGGGCTTTTCCTTTTTTGATGACTGGGGGAGTGATATGTCTTTGTTTTGAAGTTCTTATTTTTTTTAAGTGTATGAATCACAGGATAGTTTACATGCTAAGAATATATGTAATTCAGTACTTCATGGAATACATGGAATACAAGATAAGTTAAAAAAAACCCCAAATGTGCACAATGTGACAGTTGGCCAAGTTGCCTGTGTGCTATAATGTACTCCTGGCTTTGTTTCATCTGTCACAGTACAGGAGGAGATTCTAGGCTGGTAACCCTTCCACTCCTAACAAAGGGGCCTATGGCACCATCTCCATGTATTCCCCTCTAAATTTTACCTCCTACAAAATAAAAAAAGCATCTTGTATGACATTTATTTAAATTTTGATTCAACATTAAAAACCTTTTAATAAAGCTTAAATGCTTGTTTAAGCTAATACCAAGATCCAAAGGGATATAAAACCTCTAAGTTTGTGTTTGGCTAGTGCAAAAGAAACTAATAGAAAATG